AATTTCTCCTTAACTTCCCTTCTGACAAATTTAACTATAATCGGCGGTGGGCGACTTGACATTTGGTCTTCACTGCCATGGCGCTCTTTTAATCTGTGACTAACTGATATATCTTGAGGGTTAATGACCATGCACGTCCGTGAGATTGCCTACTGCCTGGACAATCTTGTCTGTTTCTTCGTTAGTTTCCACTGGAATCCCCCGTATTTCTAGACAATCGCGTCTAGAATACTGTTCGATTTCACTGATAGATTCTGCTTGCTGTTGTACTTGCAATTCAAGTTGTCTAACCGAGTCGTTTAGCCGTTTATTTTCAACTTCGAGTCCCTTATTCTTGTCCTCGAGGGTGTCAACTTTTTTAACAAGTTCATCGTACTTAGCGCTAAGGAAAGTAATCGAAGTCAGAATCTCTTCAAGTTTCTTGTCTATAGGATTGAGTTTCTTGTCCAAGATTTTCTCAAGTGGAATTTTATCATTAGCACGTTCATACTCTGTTGTTTCTTCATTTGATTTCTGTTTGGTCGTGCTACGAGTTTTAGACATCTCGTCTAGCTTCAATAAATAAGGTTTTGATATAAAATAAATGATTTTATTTTATTATTTGATGAAATTTACTTTCAAATATACGGAGCGACAAAAAATCAGTCCGCCATCTTGGCTCGCCCCAGGCCTTTTTTTTTTTTTTTTTTTTTTGATGGTAGTATAATGATGATAATGGTGATGATGATGGTAGTATAATGATGATAATGGTGATGATGATGGTAGTATAATGATGATAATGGTAATGATGATGGTAGTAATGGCTGGTGATGGTAATGATGGTGATGATGGTAGTGATGATGGTGGTAATGATTATGGAGTTGATGGTGATGATGGTAGTGATGATGGTGGTAATGATTATGGAATTGATGGTAATGATGGTGATGGTAGTGATGATGGTGATGTTAGTAATGGCCAGTGATAGTAGTTATGATGGTGAAGATGGTAGTGATTGTGATGATGGTGGTAATGATTATGAAGGTGATGATGGTGATAATTGTAGTGATGATGGTGATGTGTCCAGTGATGGTAATGATGATGATGGTAATGATTCTGGAGTTGATAGTGGGATGGTAATGATGGTAAATGATGATAATAATGTAGTGATGATCATGGTGATAATGGTAGTGATGACCATGATGATGGTGGTAGTGAAGATGTATTGATAAAGCCTGATTGAAGTGCATATTGGTTATTCAAAAGATTTGCAGGCATTAAAAGGTAAGGAAACACCATTAATGCTCTGGTAATATGTCAAATCAAAGATATTGTATGTTTCAGATGTAATGGTGTAGAACATTTCATTCTGAAAATTATTGACAAGTTACCTGACATGGAAATGATCATCAATGTTCATGACTATCCACAGGTATTATCCATCATCCACACTGATCATTTTCATTACATATTCAGTGGCAAAATCCTGTGGATTTAATTACCTCTGTCAGTAGTTTAATTCCTTTAAGCTTAAGTTAATTTTGATTTCTTATTTGTCTTAAGACAACCAAATGGATGGAACCAGTTCCTGTGTTTTCATTTAGCAAGGTGAGTGCTGGCTGCAAATAGAAATACAATTGTTGCAATCATCACCACTGTGATCATTATAACCATTTTCATACCACCATCATAATTGTCACCATTGTTATCACCATCCCCACATCATCATTATCATTATCCCCACCATCATTATCACTATCCCCACCATCATCATCATTACCATCATCACTATCATCACCATTATCACAATTATCACCAACATCATCATCACCATCAACCACCATCATCATTAGTCATACCATTATCCCCATCATCAATACTATGTACTATACCATTGACACCACCACCATCATCATCACCATTACTACCATCATCACCACCATGACTACCACCATCATCACTATCACAATTATCACCAACATCACCACCATCATCACCATCAACCACCATCATCATTAGTCATTACCATTATCCCCATCATCAATACTATGTACTATACCATTGACACCACCACCATCATCATCACCATTACTACCATCATCACCACCATGACTACCACCATCATCACTATCACAATTATCACCAACATCACCACCATCATCACCATCAACCACCATCATCATTAGTCATTACCATTATCCCCATCATCACCATTACTATCATCATCACCATTGACACCACCACCATCATCATCATCATTACTACAATCATTATCACCATCATGACACCACCATCATTATCACTATCGCCATCACTTACCATCATAAATCCTGTATTATACAATTTATATTCTAGACAAAGAATGAGTATGACATAATGTATCCAGCATGGACGTTCTGGGAAGGAGGACCGGCTGTGTGGCCAATTTATCCCACTGGTTTGGGAAGATGGGATCTGATGAGGACAGACTTGGAAAAGTGAGTAAAGTGATGTCATTGATATGCTGTTTCTGGCTTGATTGTTAATAAGTTGTTTTTTTTGACAGAAAAGCGAAAGAATTTCCTTGGGAAAAGAAAGAATCAAAAGGGTTTTTCAGGGGTTCAAGGTACCTCGTTATTTTGAATAATCTTCACACTTTTACAGTAGTTATAGATTATAATAAAAGAAATAAACATTGATTTTAAGTGTTGAATGCTAGTGTAAAGTAACAAATATATAGTTTGTGAGCTTGGATGTATGATGCAACTACTTGAAAAATGAGAACTTCGTCATTTAGAGCGAACGGAAGGCCTTTCATCTGGAAGTGACTTCACTAAAAGAAAGCCCAAACCCGAAAGGGAAGTTTGTTCTTATTTCTCACATAGAGTTCAGTTGTGTTATACATCCAAGCCTGCAAATTACCATTATTTTCTCAATCTGATAACTGCAGGTTGACCAACATTTGCTGCACGATAGTGTTCAGTGAAACCTGTCGACACAATGTATTTTTGATATTATTTATTATGACGGTTTTTATTTGTATACAGGACAAGTGCTGAGCGCGATCCTCTTGTTTTACTCTCAAGAAAGGAGCCTGAGTTAGTAGATGCACAGTACACTAAAAATCAAGCGTGGAAATCTGATGCTGTAAGTAAACGAGTTGAAGTTCTCCTTGTATTTCTCAGGTAGGAGTATCCCTATCAATCCGCAGATTAACATTACCTACAAAGTGTAAAGCAATGGTCAAACGAGGATGAGAGTTGATGAAAGTAGACAAGCGAGAGTTTGCATGAAAGTTTTCTCAATTTGCATGCCCCGGTCAAACGTGACAAGAGTTGTATGAGATTTGAGTAGGCTTGTATACTAGTTGCAACTCTTATCTTATTTGAATATACAGGGCGTCTATTTGATAAACTACAGACAGTACAGTACCTCAATTTGCAAGTTAAAGATAGTATTTGTAGCGTTTTGTCTTGAGTCATTGAGATTTAAGTACATCAAACATGAGTGTATTCTCAAATTCTATAGGACACATTGCATGCACCAGCTGCCAAAGAAATTCCTTTACAAGATCACTGTCCATACAAGTAAGTATATTGACCAAAAACTTGTTACTTTAGTTCAGCCGTTTTCTTTTGTACTTGACCAAAAAATGATGTTTCTAGGTATTTATTCAATTTTCGTGGTGTTGCGGCAAGTTTTCGCTACAAACATCTTTTTCTTTGCGGTTCTGTTGTCTTCCAAGTTGGAGATGAATGGCTAGAATTCTTCTACACCGCTTTGAAACCCTGGGTTCATTATGTTCCTGTCAGAACAGATCTCTCAGACGTGAGGTATGTTTATGTGTTTTCTTTGATTCATTGAAGTTGTTTAAACAAGTTGACATCTGAACGATCTTGTAACAAGCTTGGCGAATGTCAGTTGACATGATTAAAATTGATTTGCAGGGATTTGATTGAATTTGCTCGAGCTAATGATAAAGTTGTTCACGAAATTGCTAAAAGGTAACAGTCTAACCCTCTAAATTGCTTGTCTGACTTTGAAGCTTGTACAGTACAATGAGCTGAGGCTAACTGTACTAGTTGACCTTGAAATGAGCTCATGCGTGACATTTGGAAGACAACTTGAACCAAACCTCTACTCAGTAGAGAGAATAATGAACTCCAATTTCTTTCATTATAACTGACAAATTTTTGCTAAGAGGTGTAGGTGAAATTTGATAGCAAACATACGTGTACTACATTTTTAGTTGATGACCATGCACAGTACCATAATTATAAAAAACATTGTACTGAAACGATTCTGGATGTATTAACTATGATGTATTATTGAACTTTGTATAATGAGAAAGTGTTTCGTTCAATTTCAGAGGTGAAAAGTTTATTTGGGATCATTTACGAATGGAAGACGTGCATTCTTACTGGAAACGATTGCTTAAGAAATATGCTGAACTTCTGAAGTGGAAGCCCGAGTTAAACAAAGATTTTAAGAAGATTAAGAAAAAGTCGACGTACTAATCTGTGACACAAACATTTAGCAAGAACCTTTTAATGTGATTTAATTTATTGTAGGTAATCGTATTAGCACAACGCTTTGGGGCCGGCGTTGTTGCTCGTGCCAAAGGGAGGGGACAGCAAGCAAGAGACTCTTCCTGAAAACTGTTGACAATTAATTTATGACTGTACAAAATTAACATATTTGACGCAACGTTTGATATGAAAGCATGCAACCTCCCCATAGAAATAATAGACATAGAATGCGTGCTCCTATCTTTTCTTAGTAAAAAATTTGTCTCCACAAAATGGCGCATTGAAAAGGGCATTTTGGTTGGTCCCAGACTCCGGAGGCAGGGAATTTCGCGCGGTTGCACGTCAGCACCATAGATTATAGATTATACCAGATGTCTCACTCAGCCAAAATTGTGTCCGCGATTTTTTATGAGCACGAATTGGCCGCCATTTTGGCAGTAAGTGTAATCCACGCCATGAAACGTGAGCAATCACGCTTTTTGGCAGTAAGCGCCATTTTGGCAGTAAGTGTCGTACGCGTCATCTGGCGTGATAGCCTTGCGAAAATCGCGGACACGAAAATCATAGAGATAGATACACAGTGAGACATCTGGTATGATCTATAATCTATGTCAGCACGGAGTGCGAATTATTTTTTCAACTGAAAAGTTTGCAAAAAATTTTATATCGGGACTTAAAATGGAAAGAAAGTTTGGTAAACTAAGGAAAAGTGTCTAAAAACCCATTCCAGTGGGTTTTTTTACGAAAAGCAAATAGTTCTGAACAGAATATATGCAGAAATCGTCGTTTAAAAATAAATTTTCAACGTTATGTTGTTGTGCAAACCAAAACAAAACACAAAAGATCAAGACAAACCATAAGCTGCCCAAAAGTGCGTGTTGAAATTTTTACCCTCGCGCGTGGCGCTCGGGCATGCATCGAGTCTACTCAGTTTATTATTATGACAAGGTTGGCAAGACTTTTAACGGAAATTTATTACAACGTTTACTAGAGTATGAATATTTTGCAAATTACAAACAAAAACAATATAAAATCTACATCATTTCAAACACTGGTAATTTTACTACATTCTCTCAAAGTTTTAACTTCAAAAGTTCATTCTAAGGTTGTTAAAAAAGCGAATTATTTTCGTTTTTTTTGCAAAATTTTGTCAAAACTATGCTGGGGTCACGTACCCTGTGGTGATGTCATATTTTTTAAATCTTGAAGAAGCGCTGATTTGCTGTTGTACTGGAATCGTCCCGGATATAAAATCATGCTCTCATTGGCTAAATTGAAACTCCTTACCAATGGGAGCATAAGCACGCATCCGGGACTTGAATTTGCCCCCCAATAGCCGCATTCCTTTTTTGCCTGATGTCAAGATTGCAATGCCTCCTCGATCTAGTGTTATTTATAATCTCTATATATGGCCACTGGTCCCAAATTAGGCTTTTCTCGATTGTGCTAGTAAAAGTAGCATAATATGCTACTAGCAGTTCTGGTTTAATGTCTATATTATGCTCGAATTATGCCAGTTTTAAAAAATTATGCTTGTTTTTTATTATATTATGCTATTCAAAAATATGCTACAAAAGTGGAAAAATCAACGTATTTTGTTATAAAAAGTAAATTTTGTAACTTTTAATAGTCGTTTCTCCTGAACTCAACATAATAGTCTATTCATATGGCTCTATCATCGTCCACAAAATCTGTTGCCCAGACTATATATACAGTTCGTTGATTGTTCTCTGAGTTAACAACTCAACGTTTGTTATATTGAAGCATTACACTTGCTTGCAAATAATCTGATAGTGCATGATGGGGTTAGGGTTAGGGGAGTGTGGACTGGGTGTGGAGTGTGGACTGGGTCTCATATTAAGGTGATTACCTTACTAACTACAGTAGTCAGCGTAGTGTTGTTTAACAATCACTTCCTGCAAGTGTTTGGACAAAATTCTAAAGAACAAGTATAAAGAAAACTAAAAAAATTTTCCCATCTTTAGCATTTTGCTCTGAAACTTAGACATGTCTGGCAATTGTCTGCAGATTATGCTAGCAGTGCTTTTTTCTAAAAAAATGCAAAATTATGCTTGTTTACCCAAATTATGCTAAAAAATATGCTAGCACAATCGAGAAAAGCCTATCCCAAATCCTCATGGTAATTACCACAAGGCTCATTTTGAGCCCACTACTACTTTCACATCCCCTGATTTTCGCAAAAATATTCAGTTTAGCTTTTTGTTTTGGAGTTTGCCTTCTTATCCACATTTTAACATTTGTTCGAGTTGCACAAGCCATGTTTTTGGCGACACTGTTTCATGCCGAGCAGTTCTCCAGCTATATTATAGCTCAGTGACCTAAGCCCACAAATTGCCCGCAAACCTGCAAACCACCTCGCTGACATGCGCAAATAAATGCTAAATGTTCAAATTTGTGAGTCTTGTGACCAAGAACACCAACTCATTCAAGTCATGTGACTACGTTTAACGCACTAGACGCAGAATATTGGCATTGGCTAACATTTACCCTTGTTGTGCCCCAGGGTTTACTGTAAATTTTGTTTTCTCCAGATAAACCAACAAGAAAAGCACCCTTTCCCATAAAAGGTAAAAGTGCTTTATGATATAATTATGACCCTCCCCTTACCGCCTGCTAAATTCAAGTTGCTTGTAGCCGCCTTTGTACAAGACAAATTAAAAATATACCTCAGTATTTCATGGCCATTTTATTAACCAATAAAAAGAATACTGCACCAAAGTCACTCCCACAAACGTCTACGACCGCACCTACATATTTTTGCAAGTTTACAATTCTAATTTTAAACAGCCAATCAACGTTAATTGTAATTGTTACCAAGAACCGGATTGTTCAAATTGAGTGACGGCGATACAAATTTTTGATGCGATTCCACAGTTCAGGGTGACTTTCGTAATATTAGACGTTAATACGAGCTGCTTGGCCAAAAAATGTATCGTTATCCTCTGAATCGCCTGGGTGAAGTGATTTTAAAATTTTTATTTAACTGTTCGCCCAAGAAAAGATTACATCAATAAATGTGAAAATAAAGTATTTACAAGAAGTGGGCTAGGGGCCTTCTAGGAACCATAACTAAGGCTTTTATTTAAGATCGTTATCGTCAGGCGACAATTTTATCGTTTTCGTTGTAGTGTGGACACCAACATAATTTTATTTACCAATTATAGCGTGTTTACAAATGATCGTTATCGTTGTGTAGTGTGACCTGGGCTTACCTGGGCTTATTACTGTCGCATGCAACCATTCTCGTACCCAGGGCCGTGACACAGAGTACGAGAGAAAATAGCCTGGGTACGAGGTTGGCACTTGGCATGCAACCTGCTTACAACTTGAGTTGTACTGTGTTATGTGTATAAAATAATCAAGCACACAACTCGCATACGTTGTCTAATTTATCGCCACCGCACCTCCTTCCCAAATCCATGAATAAAATCAAATAATCAATGTCTCATTCTTTTAAAACTCACTGCGTAGCCACGTAGCCACTAAAAAAATATACCTTCCTTACAATTATGTCATATCAATGTCTCTCGTTCTTTTTAAAATTCATTGCGTAGCCACAAAAAAATGTACCTTCCTTACAATTACATCATATCAATGTCCGGCATTCTTTTAAAAACTCACTGCGTATAACCAGTGAAAAATATAGCTACCTTATAATTACGCAATTATTATATCAACGTCAACGACTCGTTCAAATTCACTACGTAGCCACGTAGCCACCAATATTTCTAGCGGGTATTCTGCAATCGCTCCCTATCTACAATCTATCTACATCTATCTATCTTACAAACCCGATGACATAAATCCTTAAAAAGTAGTCAAAAACTACTGGCTACTTGAAACTTGTAGTTCGCTACAGTAGCGAACTACAACTACTTCGCTACTACCCACCCTTGTCTTTATGCACCTATCAATGTTAAACCTGGGGAGGGGGGGTGGGCAAGAAGTGGGGATTTGAACAACTTTACTTGCTCGATGGGGAGGATTTTGATGTTGCAAGACAAGGTCGTCGGAAGTAAATCAATATTGGGGCGGGGGGGGGGCTCAAGAATAAATCTGAAGTTCTTTTGTGTGTTTTGCTTATACAAATGGTAATTATTGGGGGGGGGGCGCTTCCGACGGTCTTGCAAGATCACCCCGGGGTGTGGACATTTGATCTTTTACAGCAGCCCTTGGCTGGGCAATTTTGAATATTTTTTATTCACACGCAAATAGCCTGCGTGCAGCCTGACTTTTTAATGGCGAAGGGGGAAGAGTCAAAAAGTCAGGCTCGTCGAGGCTTCTGCACTTATATTGTTGCAACAGGTAATTTTATAGTAATTATTATTTTCTGTGTTAGTGTTATGTACTCAGGTGAATATGTTTGTGATGTTACTCTGAGTGTATATCCGCACCAGGCAAGCTTGAAAAATATACCTGGCCACGGTGGGAATCGAACCTACGACCTTCCGACCAATCAAACCTACGATTCCCACCGACGACCAATCGAACCTACGATTCCAACCGTGGCCAGGCATATTTTTCTAGCTTGTCCAGTGTGGATATACACTCAGAGTAACATCACAAACATCAATTATATTTCGGGAACTCCGGTCGAAATATATGAGAATACTAGCGGTATGGCATCACCAATCTGTGCTTCACATCACATTTTAACCCAAAGAAATCTCTGGCAAAAAATCCCAACACCCCCCCCCCTGATCTGACCCGTCCCATAATCCTCCTGTGGCTTTTTTACCTTGTGCTTCACACGCGAACAGGTAAGCTTCAGGTAGGCTAAAATATTTGCTTTTTGACGCTTTTTCCTATTGTTTTTCATATGTTTTAGACACTCAGGCATATTTTTAGACAATGTCGAGTCACCACAAGCGAAAAAGATCTCATTCACGCGATTCTACACATCGCTCTTCGAAGTCTAAAAAGTCTTCAAGCTCAACAGAGCAGTCAGACCATGCCAAAATTGACGAAGAAATGCTTCTCCAGCTTCGGGCCATCTCATCTACAGTTTCAGATCTTAAATCTAACATGGAGGTGTGTAATAGAAGAATTTCCCAGCTCGAAGATGTCTTTACTAGCGAGAATATGACACATTCTCACTCAGAAAAACAACCAGAGCCTTGCCGGGACGGCGACACGCTTTCGATTTTGGCGGGAAATGACAATCCTGAAAATTTTGAGGATTTGGCTATTGAGCCACCAGAGCAGGCTATTGAGCCATCAGAGCAGGCTATTAAGCCACCAAACTCTGCCGTACAGCTAAACACTAGCGATGATATTTGTGGCGACAGAATTGATCCTTCAAAACAACAATCAGTTGAACTCAGCAACGCTAGCGAAGGTCAGCCAGGGTTATACGACCCCGAAGCTGTTACGACCTCGTGGTCTCCATCTCAGGAGTTTAAGGGTTTTTTAGAGAAAAATTTTCGAAGGAAACTATCCTTTGATCACATTTGTGATATTTTGGAGGAACAAGCTATTCCTCAGGTAGATTCCCTCGTTGCTCCTACTCTAGATCCACCAATGTTGTCTCATGTTTCATATCAAAATAAAAAGTTTGTGCAGGAGCGAGATAAAGAGCTCGCTGTTGTTCAACGTGCTATGTTGAACATCACAGGCCCATTAAGCACATTACATGACCGTTTAGAAAACAACCTTCCTGTTAGCCCTACTGAGCTCAAGTTGCTTGTTGAACAATCCCTTTGTTTAGTTGGTTCGGCTAACTCACAATTATCGGTACTCCGCCGCAAGAAGGTACTTGCATCCATTAACAAATCAAAAATTGATTTGGCAAACCAGCCATTGCCAAACGCTCAACGATGGCTATTTGGAGACGATTTTCCCTCAATTGCATCTAAGGAAGCCGAGCTATCACGGGGTTTGGCAAAAAATCTGGCTCCTACGGCCCCCACAATTTATAACCAAGACCCGAAACAACCAAGCAGAAGTTTCTCTCAGTCTACTAAATACAATACTCAAAACAACAGGGGTCAGTTTTCTCGTACTCCCCAGTCTCGTTTCCAACGGCCCCCAAATTACCACACCACTTCGAACAGTGGCAGGTTCTGACAGCAGACCCATTTATTCTAGATGTTGTTGCCGGTTTAAAAATTCCTTTTCGTTGCGTTCCTGTTGAACAAAAAAAAAAAAAAAAATGACTCAGGTCCGTTCAGAGTCAGAAACACCTATTTATGTACAAGGAGGTGTCAGTCCTGTTAACGAAGGGGGCAATTTGCAAAGTCCCCTTTGCCAAGTCCCCAAGAAGGACGGTGGTATGAGATCGGTTATAGATCTAAGCTCACTGAATCAATACATAGAAACATAACATTTCCAGATGGAACATCTTTCCTTGATAAAAACCTGCCTACAACAGGGGTACTACATGACAAAATTGGGCCTAAAGGAGGCATATCTTTCGGTTCTGCTGGAAAACCAAAACGTATCAGTTCAAAGCAGAAACGGCGAACATTGTGTTGTCAAATCCTGAAAATCGAGAAACCTGCATTAAGGAGCATAGCTCAACTGTTGGGGTTACTAGAATCTTACCGTCCGGCAATCTGGAAGGCTCCTTTTCACTTTCGTTTTCTTCAAGCTTTGCTTATTCGCAACCTGCACACTTCAGATCACAATTACGAAAATTCAACTTCCATGCAAACAGAAAGCTGAAATCCAATGGTGGTTTCAGAATATTATGACAATCAATGGCAGCCCAATTACGGTGCCTCCCCCGGATGTAACAATTTTTCCGATGCCTCGAAACAGAGGTGGGGCAGTCACCAGCATTTATCAAACCGAGAAGTTGTTACACATCAATATTCTCGAACTGAAAGCTGTTTTTTCTAAGCCTGAAGACTCTCTTGAAAAACTATCGTTCAATGACAGTGTCACTGAACATAACTATCGTTCAATGACAGTGTCATTGAACATGGACAATTCCACCGCGGTTTACTTACATAAATCACAAAGGGGGCACCACCCGTTGCTATTACTAGAGCTGACATTATAACTGTGGGATTGGCGCAAGCAGAGAGACTTATTTGTCATAGCCCACCACCTTCCAGGGAAGATCGACATTCAAGCAGACCTCGAATCCAGGCAGTTTCTGGAGGCTCACCATTGGGATGCCTTCACGGTGAGCTGGAAGGGACTTGCGGGTTATGCTTTCCCTCCCTTCAACTTGGTCCCCATGGTCCTCAAAAGGTCTTGTCGGACCAGACAGAGATCTTCTTGATAGCTCCAATTTGGCAAGCTCAGCGTTGGTGGCCTCTTCTACTAAGTCTTCTGGTACAACATTAATTAACCTGTCCTGCTACCAAACAGCAAACATCTCTTGAAGGATCCAACCGACCCTTCCTTAATTCACCGATGTACCCACGTCTACATTTGGGCGTATTTCACATCTCGAACGTTAGCAAACTACTCATTTTCAGCCACTCGTAGTTCCGCACGCAAAACCTACGAATCTAATTGGCAGCGTTGGAGCCGCTGGTGTTCTACAAGGCAAATTAATCCAATTTCATCAACTTTTTGAGCAACGTCCTTACCTTTTTGGCGGACTCACTCGCCTCCGGTTTGGAATATAGAACCATGAATGTTCTGAGATCGGCTTTGTCATCAACCCATCCACGAATCGACGGTTATCTAGTCGGACAACATCCATATGTTGTTAACCTGATGAGAGGTGTTCTAAACAATCGACCTCCAAAACCCAGATCCCTAACGTTCACCTTGTTGACTACAAAGACAACTCGTCCAGATGAAACTGTTTCTGCGTTTTATACTTGTTTCCCAGATGACAAAAGGTTATGTCTGATAGCTTGTTTCCAACAATACATCTCAATGACGGTTGAATTTAGAAGAATTATGAAGGACCAACCTAAGTTGTTTCTTTCATTTATTATACCTCACCGAAACAATTTTATTATAGACCAATGGTATCAACACCAAACTTTGGTCGTGTTGGGTTAAACTAATTGTAAACAGGTCTTTAGACTTATTGTATCTACAGAGCTAAATAATAAAGTTCTTTTTGGCGGTTCACCATTGTAGTGTTAAACTCTACCGCTAGTATTCTCATATATTTCGACCGGAGTTCCCGAAATATAATTCGAATTATACTAGGGCTGTTCCAGCCTGCAGGTATAATTTAGGTTATATGAGGGAACGAAGGGAGAAATATATGATTCCCACCCTTATACCCGCCCAGTTCATCCCAGGGTTAAATAAGCCACAGGAGGATTATGGGACGGGTCAGATCAGGGGGGTGTTGGGGTTTTTGCCAGAGATTTCTTTGGGTTAAAATGTGATGTGAAGCACAGATTGGTAATGCCATACCGCTAGTATTCTCATATATTTCTCCCTTCGTTCCCTCATATAACCTAAATTATACCTGCAGGCTGGAACAGCCCTAGTATAATTCGAATTTTCCAATGAATAATTAATAAGTACACTAGAAGTTCATTATGTAGTGTTCAAAGCGTTCTCAGGATTCATTAAAAGAGGTGTAGGAAGCTAGATTAATCTTGTAGGCTGCATAGATGAAAGATATTTGCATGATAATAACACTAAGTTAGACACCTAACGATTCGACTTGTGAAAAACTCATCATCTCAATAAGAATGTCCATCCAGTCTTCAGTTGAGATCAGTTGACGCAAGCTTGACGCATTTGGTCAGGTGCAAAATGTGTAATGAAATCGGGATAAGACGACAATAAGCAAACAATGTATATCCAAATGACAACCCTAACCAAACATTAGTATGTGTAGCTCTTGCGGGGATTGGGGCTAAATCAGAATAAACAAGAAGACAATGGTGATTATATTACAATTCAAAATTCGTACATTTTTAATAAAAATAGGAAAATTAACACCGCATTCATAATGTCGTGTTGTGTTGTTTTATTAAGAGGATATTGACGACTGTGTGGGTTTGGACAAGATTGATGAACGGAAGCAACACGCAAGTGCTTGTTTGTTTTTAAAAACTCTCCTTGTTGTTCATATGTTAACTACGGCCGTGCGCCTGCCTGCCAGTCACTCACAAGTTGGCTTCAGCTGGGAAGTCGAGCGAAGTCTTGTAAACATCCATATAAAGTCTATTAAGTGTTAACTCTGGCGTGCTAATAGAAGCTCTTATTTATTCAAGTTAACTTCAGCTTGGCTATCTTTGATATAGCTCCTGTACTGTTCGAACTTCTATGCCACGGGTATGAGACAGAAGTTGGTTTCAGCTGGAAATTCAAACAGACTTTTATAAAGTCGTCGACATATAAATACATGGACATGGTGTTGGCTTGATAAGTCTTGATATATCACGAACGCAAAGTTACAACTGGAAATTCGAACATAGTCATAGAAAGAAACATCGAAAGAAACGGTCTGTACTATTGTGTATATTGGAAGTCGAAGGTTTGAAATCGACGTCAATAAAGAAATCAAGACACCTGTAATTATCCCAGCACTCGGTGTCATTTACAGAAAGAACTTCTTTTGTTAGCTTCGAGTTGAACATTGCTTTCTATTCTCTTTCGTTTTACAATTTGATTCAATTTAATCCTTGAAATCGAAGACTGTTAATAGATCATTGAATCCTGTCGTCATTGTCACTAACACGTACAGCACTTGAACATTTTGGCTTTACTGGGAAGTTATAGACAAGCTCAAGAATTATACCCAGATACAAATAATTCAATTTAAAAGCTTTTCGAACGATGAAAATGAGTAACCTAAACTTCAGTGATCCTCGCGTACTACGTTGCCTTGAATTGTTTTCAAAATGTACCGCAAATAATAGCATAAATATCAGGGATGTCGATTGGTGTGACGAACATTGCATAGACTTACACTATCACTGTCCTAAGCTGCATAGCCTTCAGTGTCCAGAGCCTGGTCCAGAGCAAGAAGCTCAGCTGGAACTACCGACGATTCTATTGGTTGTTTTCATCTTAATTGCCGTATCTAGTTTTCTGGCGAACGGATTCATGTGCGTGGTCTACTCGCTTTCCAAAGAAATACGAACAGCTAAGCATTACTTCATGGTGAATTTGGGCATAGCAGACATACTTATAGCGGTGTTTGGAATCCCCTTTTATCTCACAGAGTATATCAAAGGTGACTCGAAAACGCTGTGTCAAATCGGCTCGATGGTAGACGTGTTGTGTTGTACGTGCTCCATAATCAGTTTCACCGTGATAAGCGCAGAACGTTTCGTGGCCGTCAAGTACCCGTTGCGTTATCAGACAATCGTGTCACGAAAACGTTGTCTAGTGGCTCTTTGTTTCGTGTGGGGCTACTCTATCGCGATCTCTCTCGCATCTAGAATTCCCGTTGGTGAATTTGATATGGGACGGTGCGTGTTCTTCACGGATGGCTATATAATTTTCACCACCTTTGCAAGCTTTCTGCTTCCATTATTGGCAATGATTTTGACATACGGCTGGATCTACAAAGTCGCTACGTACCAAGCACGTCAGATCAACAACAGCATTCCTCATGCAGTCAATCGAACGAAACGCGAATTCAAAGCAGCGAAAACTCTAACTTTGATCATCGGAGCTTTCATAGTGTCCTGGCTACCACTCTTCTGTTATATTTGGGTTTTTAGTCTGTATAAAGTACAGGTAGCTTTCTCTGAATTACACTACATCGTACAGATAGTGCGCTATCTAAACGGACTAGTGAACCCCTTTATATATGTGGGGATTAACCGAGAGTTTCGACGCAGTACATTCAAATTGCTGAAAGGGATTTTACCACGCAGGGAACGATGTGGTAGCGAGACAAATAACGAATGTACTCAGACGAGCGAAGTGGTCCTCAGGGAAATTTCAGCAGCGTAGCCGTAACAGGCGCATCTTTGTTGTAGTTGAAAGCTATGTACAGTATATAGTTAACATATTTTTTTTTTGGGGGGGGGGGGGAGAGGACTGGGACAAAGATAATTTTACGTGGTATATGAAAACCTACTGAAATATAAATGCCGCCCAGCACTGAAAACTGAGTTTTCATGCGTTGGTTTTTTCTCATCCGTCCATATTTTGGAAAGTATACGTATTAGTATTTATTTTCCAAGCAAGACAACCAAAAATATAAAATGTGCGAGAATAAAATCAGGCTGCATGACGTGCAGGTTAAACTTTCAACACGCATTTATCACGCATAGCGACGCCACGTTGCCGACAATCTACTCCTTACTTTGGATGTACATGTCACTGTGCCTGTGATATTAGATAATTCACTCTTCTTTTTTATTTTTAATTTCATTCTTGTCAATAAAATCCAATAAAAAATAAGCGTGATCAAATTGTAAATAGATTAATATCATATTATTAATTTATTGTACGATCATCCAGATTAAAATTTTTTTATTGTTTCTGACGTTTCGGTTATCTTTTAAATATAAAATGTAGATCGAGTAAACTTGAGTCCGCGGTTTGCAGGGAAGCTGACTTGAGTGGGTTGAATTATTTATGTATTCATTATACGACTGTTTTTATCCTAATCCCGCCTCGTTGGGGCGACATTGTGTAAACATGGCATCCTCGAAATATTCGTTGTTGTTGTAATAGGCCCTTCCAAGGTTAAGGACGCCATCTTGAATGTATTGTTTTCACCATTGGCATTGTGTTTCCACCACTTGCAAATTTACCTATAGGGAATTGCCGGAATTCCATTGTGTTTGCACCCCTTGCACTACCAGAGGGCTCAAGCTTCGCTTCAACGAAACATTTTACGCTATAAAGCAATAAAAAGTAAATGGGCTTGTTGTTTTATAAGTAGAATGCTTAACTATTCCTGTGTCATATGAAAGAAAATATGACACATAGAAATCCAACGACAATTATGCAAAACAAATTCGGCCTTGCCGTTTGCCGTTCCCGCAAACGTGAAGCTTAAACTCCCTATTGTGTTTCATTATGGCGTCGTTAACCTTGGAAGGGCCTATTAAACAAACTGCACCTTGTACTCTGACTTCTATAGTGTATGTTTGGGTCAATTTTAATGTTTATTTTGTTTGCATTTTCCAACTATGCTGTTCAATATTACATCGGTCAAAATTAGCAAAAATATGTCCATCCCAGTCAGGTGGGATGGAAAATTACTTAGATCCCACCTAACGCAAGGTGAAATCACACCAAGCCAGGCTGGCTCGTTTCTCATATGAACACAAATTAAATTTTATATGCGTTAACAAAGGGCATTTGGATATCACTTAATTAAGGTGAATTTTCCGATTAGTTGGGCTCATATGAACACGCCTAAAAAAGGTGCGTAACGTTACAATCACGAGCAATTAGAGAGGTTAAGATTGACGTTTACGGCAGACCGGTAACCGCAAGCGGCAAACTTCAATTCGCATTTGAAGGTAAGTTCTACAAGTTTCCGAAGGTTTCGACAGGTTTTTAGCCAATTCATTCTTCAACTTTAATGCACAGATTGTCCTAACTTCGAACAGCTTACAGTTGATCTCAAAGTACGACTTGAAGTTAGCGGTTGGCGGTCTGCCGTAAACGTCAATCTTAACCTCTCTATAGTTTTGGAACGACAGGTGCAATTTCCGAGTTCTTATTTTCTAATTTAACCCTCCCCCCCCCCCCTTCTCAATGTTGCATTGTTTACCGATTGCATTTGATCTGGACATGACACGATGATTACTTATTCACAGCCATATCAACACTGACGGGGGTGGAGGAGGGCCGGATTCGTGCAGAAAAATTGGCGATAAGATGAATGTGCGCTGGTACTTATAATACTAGTTTACCCACAGGGTAGTGAATGCTGCCTTGGTATAGCACTGTTCCCAAATCTTTAATATTTTAAAGAATAAGCGGTAAGAAATATTTGTAATCACCATTCCCCAATTAACCAAAATTTTGATCTCAACAAGTCTAGACAAAATTCCATCATAGCATGAAAGAGCATCGCAAAATTAGTAATATTACCGCATGTTTCACAAATAATTGGCCACGGTTGTAGTTTAGTCTTGCAGGTGACATATAGGAAAAGACATTTCTACGATATAACATTAATTCAACTAGCCACTCGACTAGCATGTAAAAAATAGGTACGCTAAGCGTACATGTATCTGCGCTGATTGATGTACTGAGCACCTCGATCACGCAACATACATAGTAATTCGGTATTTCTTGCATAATTCAATTCAGCCCCAACATTTTGGCATGTTTTTATGTATTTGAATTTAACGATGTAAATGTTTATTGGGTCTGTTATAGGAGGGAGGTCGTTCTGCAAACCGTTATGTTTGTTAACCGCCAGTATTTTCTTCGTGACAACCATAACTGCCATTTTTCTTATACGTCGCAACGACGAGAGGGCAAAAATGGGGCATATTTTCGTTGAGAAGCATTTAACTGATAGGAATCTGGTGAAGCATCTGCTGTTGGGGTGCGAGATGTGAAAGAATTTTACCTGCATAAGAACTTAAAATAATGTTTCCTAAAATGTGTGACGCGTATGTTTTGGCCTGGCTCAATTGCAGACCCAAATAGAACACATCTATCTGAAGAATTTTAATACTGCATGTATGACTAACTATAATAATTGCAAGCTTGTGGGAGAGTACAGACATTCTGTCTGTAGGAATTGACATTTTAATTGCCGCCCTTTTTCTGAACAAAGAAAATTAAAAACAAAGTACCTAACTATAAGTCTTTTTATTATGTAAGTACATGAGCTAGGAAACCTTAGCTATATATACTATCAGTTCTAAACTCTTCCCCCCAAAGATCCAGATAAGGACCTTCCTCAAATTCGTTGGTACAGGTTACTTACAATCCTGCATGGTCAAAAATCCTTGGCGCACTTAGTCGAAATAGCATAACCTTTACTTCATTTCGGATTACAATATACATACTTGCCCATTTTATGCAAAATTTCATGTCCAAACACCCCCTATCCCCCTTATCAATGTTGTGTAACACCTTGGACGTATACCACACTACACACAACATTGAACGGGGGAAAGGGGGGTGCTATGCTTGTTATTGACGTGGGAGTCAAATTTCGCACAGTCAGTGTCAAGTGCGCCAATATTTTTGACCAGGATTGCAGCTATACAGGAGAATTAAGCCGCCTAGGTCATCTCAACGATATCGAGTGACCGTCTGAAAGTCAGGCTAGAGGAAACCTAGTTAACCAAAGCAAATCAATTATTGTATAAACGAAGAGTGCCTGCTTGCTGCGTAACTTTCTGTATGGAAGTTGGTTAAAGGAATCAACAATACGTAGTTTGAATGATTTCATCATTTTTGAACCTTTGAGGAGTCTGTCACCTTTGAAACTAACATTATACTCGCTTGTAATGTCATAGATTTAAGCCCCGTTTACACTACGCTCAATTTTTGGTACGGCACGGATAAAATTGGTACCCGTACCACTTTTTTGGTTCTTGGACTACCTATTTAGGTAGTCCAAGAACCAAAAAGTGGTACGGTACCAAAAATTGAGCGTAGTGTAAACGGGGCTTAGCTAAATAGGTAGTCCAAGAACCAAAAAAGTGGTACGGGTACCAATTTTATCCGTGCCGTACCAAAAATTGAGCGTAGTGTAAACACGACTTTATTTAATTTATACATCAAATGAAAGTAAAATATCTCGAGGACGAAAAATGATAAGCTAGAAAAATTGTATACATACAGTAACAATAACTTATTTTGCAGCTTTACATGTCTCTTTTCCCTAAAATGCAGACGTAACTTTCGTTGCCAATACAGTGAACGCTCCTGTTTTCTTTGCCATACCCATGGGCAAATATTAATATCGCTGAAGACAGGACTTCGTATATTAGACATTCATGCAGGCAATTACCCTGAAGCGAAAAACATTTTTAAAGTGCCAAATTTTCGAAATATTTTTATTTGCCGTAATTTGGAGATAAAAAGATAGTCGCTATCACGCATTTTGTGTTTTTTTTTATAATTGCATTTAATTTGCTTTTTAAAGATATAGCATTGTGCACGCATGGTAAAAATAAATAGAATTGTTTTGTTTTGCTTTGTTGATCGTTTATTTCTTTGCCTCGGTTTTGGCGAAGCAAGTCCCGTATTAATCGGTTCTATGAGAATTTAATACACTGTCACTGGCGAAGATCCATGCATGCTTACGGTCGAAAGCTAGGGATACAAAATAAACGTACGTGATGTTTCCACAAATACCAAACAATTATATTTCCGGCGTGCAATCATGCAAACACAGCTTTTAACGGCGAAATTGACTATAATCACGAAATAGTTGAATGTTTAATTTGTGCCACAATATGGTGCCTTCTATTTACAGGCCTTTCTGTACCTCTGATGTATATGAGAGTTCTTGGTCTTTGAGAGTTTTTCACTAAACCAAACACACTCGATGTCCAAGAAAAACAGTTTAGAACTGATAGAGCTACCCAGGATAACGATAAAACTAGTTGGGTTTTTTTTGTAATATCGTAACACTGAATCCACAATCGGTGAGAACAGCATTTTAGTGCTGAAAGAAGCTAGCTATCCATGCAGTATCAACATCGGTATATTAAATGCAACACTGTAACACTGATAGAGTATTAGAGTTATCAAGTACAAATAAAGTTATAGTTTAGTTTAATTAGTTTCTCTTTACACTGGACCTCACCAAAGAACAATTTAATCATAGATTAGTGGAGGTGAAATTCCAAAACCAAATTAATAATATCACGAATGTTGACAATGAAGAAGTAGATTTTGTAAGAATATAAACATTGGAGGAGAAACGACAAATACAAGATCTAAATAAGTACTCTCTACTATAAGTCTATATAGGCCTTTGTACTTGTGACACCATGCAGTCTACAACTAATAAGATCTAATAAAGCTACCCAGAATAAATAAATTTAGTTTCAATTTCTTTTAATTTAATAGCTTATATGAGTTTAGTAGCTTATTGCAAAAGCATAAATGTTGAAGAAATCATATTGAAGGTCAAACTAGTGTTCCAAATCGTTCGTATTTCAACATTACACATTTACCTTCACTCCTCGACGGCCGCCATCTTGTTTTTCTCTGTACATTACGTCATCGTGGTTAACACACACGACTGCGCAACTCATTAATTTCAGTAAGAATTCTACCAGTCGCAGAGATCAGCAACTGACTCAGGCAGGTCCAAAATGTTTTTAATGAATTTAAGATAAGACGACATTAAGCAAACCATAGTTACTATGAGCAAACATAATCTATATCCAAATGACAACCCTGACCAAATATTACTACGTGTGGCTTTTAAGGCGATTATAGGGTTTAATCAGTATAAACAAGAGGACAATCGGAAACTAGTGTGATTAATGACCATTCAAAAATCGTACATCTTTAATAAAAATACAAAAATTAAACGTGCATTCATAATGTACGTGTTGTGTTGTTTTTTCAAGATGAAAATTGACGATTGTGTGTGTTTTGGATATGCAAAAAAATGTTGAACGGAAGTACACTCAGGTGCATATGTTTGTTTTTTACCCTCATTTTCAAGCCGTGACTCCGCAATTACTATTGTGGGCTGAATTGCATTTTTAACTAAGGCTCATTGTCATACGCCTGTCATTTATACAAGTTGGCCTCAGCTGGGCAGTCTAGCGAAGTCTTGTAAACATTCATATGTCTAGTACATGACGGTATTGCATTGTTAACTTTGGCTTGCTAATAGAAGCTGCAAGTTGTTTATTCAACTTAATTTCAACTCGGCGATCTTCGATATATGCTCCTACGAGATAGGCCATCATTTAATTAATTAAAGAAGAAAAGATGATGTTTTCAGCTGGAAATCCATCGGTAAGTCATCGATATGTGAGTACATATAAGTAAACGGCGCTGCATTACAACTCTGACTTGGAAACTCCAAGCTAGAAACTCGAACGAACTTTTGAAATCATCAACACTGGAAGAAACCTCAAAAGAAACAGTCATGTTTTGGAAGTCGAACGAAGTCAAAGGTTTGATATCGATGCAAATAAACTGAATAGACACTCCTGCGTCTGCGAGTGTCACAAGCATTCGGTGTTATTTACAAGCTGTCAATAAGCTGGATCGGTTAAACTTTTTAAATCGTTAACATATAGAAAGAAACGGTCTTGTTTTGAGTTAGGTACGAGTTCACTGTTGCAAGCTATTCTGTTTCATTAACTAATTTGTCTTCAGCTTACACTAATATATCTGTACACTGAAACCTCGGAAATCGAAGACTGCATATATAGATAAAGTCGTGTATTGTTTAACCTTGACCTCATCGTCACTGACTATATACTTCAACTTTTTGACCGCTTTAATTGGAACACTTTCCGCCAACACATCCACCACCCATAAAGTCAGTTCACCAGCAAACGTTTGTGTCCACAAAGATGAATCAAAGCCTGCTAAATAACATTTTCGACCTTATTAAACACCTCAATTCTACAGAAGCAAAATATAATTGTTATAAGCTGTTTCTAAACTGTACTGCAAATGGCACAGGAGAGTTTGATTTGCGGAATGAATCTTGCACACATTTTGACTGTCAGTGTCTTCCTACGCATAAGAAGTTGTGTCTTCCTAAGAGGATCCAAGAAGTTCACCCCGAACTACCAACGATTCTATTGGTTGTTTTCATCCTAATTGCCGTGTCTAGTTTTGTGGCGAACGGATTCATGTGCGTGGTCTACTCGCTTTCCAAAGAAATACGAACAGCTAAGCATTACTTCTTGGTGAATTTGGGCATAGCAGACATACTTATAGCGGTGTTTGGAATTCCCTTTTATCTCACAGAGTATATAAAAGACGACTCGAAAACGCTGTGTCAAGTAGGCTCGATGGTAGACGTGTTGTGTTGTACGTGCTCCATAATCAGTTTCACCGTGATAAGCGCAGAACGTTTCGTGGCCGTCAAGTACCCGTTACGTTATCAGACAATCGTGTCACGAAAACGTTGTCTAGTGGCTCTTTGTTTCGTGTGGGGCTACGCTATCACGATCTCTCTCGCATCTAGAATTCCCGTTGGTGAATTTGATATGAGACAGTGCGTGTTCTTCACGGATGGCTATATAATTTTCATCACCTTTGCAAGCTTTCTGCTTCCATTATTGGCAATGCTTTTGACATACGGCTGGATCTACAAAGTCGCTACGTACCAAGCACGTCAGATCAACAACAGCAATCCTTCGGCAACCAATCGAATCAAACGCGAATTCAAAGCAGCAAAAACACTAACTTTGATAATCGGAGCTTTCGTAGTGTCCTGGATACCACTCTTCTGTTATATTTGGGTTTTTAGCCTGCATAAAGTAAACGTACCGTACCATGATCTGCATTACATCATACAGATGGTGCGCTTCCTAAACGGGCTGGCAAATCCTTTCATATACGTGGGGATTAACCGAGAGTTTCGACGCAGTACGTTCAAATTGCTGAAAAGGATTTTGCCACGCAGAGAACGATGTGGTAACGTGACAAATAATGATGTACGCACTCAGTCGACCGAACTCGTTCTGAGGAAAACTTCAGCAGCGTCAACAGCCACACATTGTGCAACTGAAAGCTAGCGAGGGCCAGTAGTTTATCAGTCTCTTAGGACTGTTACCTGTCACCTTCTATAAATAAAGTCGTTATTATTGTATATACTCAAAGATAACTTTATGTGGTGGAATAATTGCATGTAAATAGGTTAATATCACATTACACTGGAAAAAAATAGTGAAATTCATGCTATGAAATTTGCGATCGCATCACTACATCCATAGTATATCCATATATACTACTTCCAAACTATATCCATAGTATGGGAATTGCAATCAGTATGTAAGGATTTTGAAGATATGTTAATATAGGTAATAGTGTGGTTTCGAGTGCAATTTTGAAAAAAAAAACAAGCACGAATCCGAAGGACGAGTATTTCCTAGTTTGTTTTGCACTGAATTTCTTTTTGGCATTGTATTTCGATAAAATTGCACTCTTGTTGTTAGCCAATGTGTATTAATAACCAAAGTGGTCAGTATTTCTTTTCTTAGGAAATCAACGGAAAAGGTGCTTAGCTTTTGTATTGCTCTAAGACATTATATTGCCCCCATGAAATTCACTTTGCTTCCCACGCTCTTAATCATGCGTATAGACAACTTTGTGCTGTCAAAATTTCTTAAGGAGGTATATCCTCTCATGACTATAAAGTGTGTGATGTTCACACCTTTTTCAGAAACAATTTTCGACATAATTTTGTGAACTCGACCAACTGTTTAACGCGTTTGCCCAAGTTTGATACACATGCAAATACGTCATTTAGCATAGAATGATACAGGAAGTGAAAGTCAAATATGATCATGACGCAATTGTTTGAGAACGACTGTTTACACAGGATGTGTTCAGTGTCACCCAGCCTGCCGTGGTTTGTCTCTCATGAACTGCTTGAAAGATAGAAAAAAAGTTGCCGTTATGACGATTTAAAAAAAAGCCTAGTTAGGTATACTATACCTATACTCTAAAAAGATTTTGGTTAAAATTTTTCATGCATGGTTAATCTGGAATTAACTCTATTTGGGTTAACTTAATATTCCTGGTTATTTGAACCTTTTCCCTGCTATCATCTGGTTAATTTGACCAGGGCTCTCTGGTTACATTAAGCAGACTATATGTTAGGTGGATAAATAACCTGGGCCCCCTCGTCATTTATTCATCTAAAATAGTCTAGTTGTTTTAAACAAGGACGTGCTGGTCAAATATAACCAGATTCCTCGTTAAATTAACAAGACTGTGGTAGGAATTGAGGTAGAATAATCAGCCGGACTGATTTCTGCTGCTATTAACACAAAAAATGCTAGAATACACATGTTTGTTTTGCATTCGTCAAAATTCGAGAACACTCGCAAAACGTCTGCATATTTGTTCTTAAAATCTTAATGCGTAAAATTTATTGCACGAGGAGTTACTTTCTTAAAATAACAAAAATCACAAACGAAGATTTTGTTTTCGATATGTCAATGAAAGATATGTATTCGTAACTGAAAATCGTTTATAATTGAGTTGTCTAATGAAAATTAGCAAAATACAAATCACTGAACTATAAGACCCTTCGAGACATATTTCCTAGGAAATTTGGCCCAGGGAGCGTACTTTTGTTTTTGGGGGGGCATATTTCATATTACGCCGGCTTGTATATACGCATGTGTACTTATTTATTTTGCGCAAACTTAAATAAGAATAACTGTATATACTATATATTGAGAAATAAACCGTACAATATGAAGATATTATAGGTATGACAAAACATATATTTATTCTATTTTACTTTTATATTTGTGAATTTTGTGCATACAGTATCAGTGTATTACAATAACTTTACATAAGTTATACAACGTGGAAATTTTATGAATTCTACTTCACAGGCAGTTTCAACCTTTTCAATACGTTATTTATGTAATGCTAAGGATAGTTGCAACCTCCTCCGCAGACGACTCGGTGACCAAAGGCAGAATTACGAAATACTTATAGGGAAATGATGGAATAACAGGGGATCATGATGGATAATTGTGCAGTGAGTTTCTAGTACCCCCCCTCCGCTCACCATAACGAGTTGCCTGCGGAGGAGGTTAAGATAGTTGCTACACTCAAAGAAATATGGCAATACAAATTTAGGTCCCCTAATTAAAAAAAATAAAAATTCAAATTTGAATAATCGTAGTGCGACAACCACTCTCCTGTATGACTTTCTCCCAGTCCCTTCTCCGTTCCAGCCGGGGGGAGCGATTCGACAATCCAGTAAATTTATTTTTCAGCTCAGGAATGAAGGCCCTGCCCCGTTCCTGTGCAGCGGCTAAAATATTCCGTTTTCCATCAGTCCTCGGGAGCTCCGGAGTGTCCTCGGAATCCTCCGACTGCCATCGTATTTCGGAAGCGTTTACAGAATTGTCATTCTTACGAAAACTGATCGAGATGTCTGCAAATCTATTTTTAAAGTTTTTCTTCAGATTTGCAGTTAAACTTGAACTCGTTTCAGATTCTTTTGGCAATTCATTGGAAGTTTTATTCGAATCTCCTTGCTTTCTTGTCATTTTGGGTGAGCTATTTGCACTCGATATTTTCTTTCCGCCTTTAATAAGTCTGTTCATTATACTTTTCTCGGAATTTGTCTCGCTTTGGTCCAATTCTTTGGACGTTTCAACCTCGATACTATGATCAACTTTTCCCCGCCTGCCTTGGTTTGGTGAAGCATTTACATCTGATGAGACTGCACCTTGTTTTTCAGTTATAACTTTTTTCCTGCAAGCTTCTTTGTCATGTTGGTTAGTATCTTCACTCACTTGGTTTAATTTCCCTTCTTTTGAAGAGTTTTCCTGCCCATTATCTTTCTCTAATAAAGTTCCAGGACTATCAGCATTGTTTGCGAAGTTAATATCTACGTTGTTTTCGTTGGAGTGTCCATCATTTGCCTCTTCGCTTAAATTCACCTGTTGTTCACTTGTTTTTACAGTCATGCTTACACAATCCAAACGTTTTGTATTGTCATTTGTTTCGCTTCTCTCCGATAAAAATTCACCTTCAAAATTATGCTCTGTGATTTTAACCCCTGACACATCGCTTTGTTTCAGAGTTTCGGCACCAGCCGATAAATACCTTTTATACAAACCAGATTTATTTGTATTACAACTACTATCAATAATATTACCTTCGTCTTGGCTTACTTCCTCAGAATTTTCCGTTCCCGTTGTTTTCTCCGGAGGAGAAGCCATTTTGTCGAGTTTCGCAGGAGCTGAAGTTGAATGAACTATTTTGGGAGAACACGATGTTTTCTTACAACGATAATGATTGTTACCACTGCATGGTCGAGGTTTGTAAGATAGCTGAATCACGTCATGGGGTTTGCTTTTCTTCCTGGGAAAAAAAGTATGTCAGTTTAGTTTAAAGGCTGAATATACTTTCCTTACAGTACATTGTGTTGTGTTCGTATGGATGAAAACATATGTACAACAACAACAACAACAACAACAACAACAACAACAACAACAACAACAACAACAACAACAACAACAACAACAACAACAACAACAACAACAACAACAACATAGTCAGAGAGAACTCTAACTTACTTGTTCAATCTGCATTCAATGACCTTTGGCTTTGTATTGATTACCAAGGATGCTTTACGAAATTCATCAGCAATGCCATGTAAAACATCTAAATAAACAAATCATCAAACTGCATAATACAAAAGCACAGTACTGAACAACCGTATAAATATAAAATTAGCAAATGCCCATTTTTAATAAAACATGAAAACACAGTACCTTTATCTTCATCAGCAGTTCTGTTCTGAAGAGCTTTAAACGTGTGAAAATATCCACTCTCTTCTTTACTGCGGTAATGCAGACGTAGACCGGAATTCGGAAACCTCTGGGATAGGTCTTGACCTAAAAGAATGCAAATACAAAAGATTTAGCTGAACGAATATTTAGCAACAATTAAACATGAAATGAATTACCTATTTCAATCTTTTCTAGATTTTCCAAAGGTTGACATTCGTATTGATTCACACATTCCTCCTCCTCGTCATAACTGCAAGGGAAATAATAGATTACCTAATCCATTACTATGTAAATATTTCATAGCCTACTATGCCTAGCATACTATGTAAATATTTCATTAACCTTATTTTCAGCACAATATAATTAGTCTAAACAAATTTTACTTTTAAGCTTAACAATATCTACAAAAAATTACCTGGCAATGTAGAAGGCTTTCTCAGTCAGCAGCAGAACTACTTCTTGTTCGAAGTCGGAACCCTCTCCGTCTGGTCTGTAGGTAGAAAAGAGGCAGAATAAGTTCCTTGATTTCTTTTTGTAGAACGTTATTTATTCCGAAAAGCTTTTTACCCTGAGCCTAGATCTTCATCATGATTGTAATTTGTAAGTGCATGTGCATGGATAGCCTGTGTACAGCCGTAAATTCTAGTGCATGGAGTGTGCTAATCATTGAGGTAGCTGTATCCCTATCAATCCGTAGCTGTCTTTTTATGGTCGCTATACCTACACTGGCACAGACCGTTCGAGTCACTGGTTACCGCATTCAGACCCTCTTTAAAAGAATAAGCTACAGTATGTAACTAGAATTTTACAAGGACTGAAACGTACCCTATGAGTGGCTCAATCAACGCCCATCCACCGACGTAAAGCTCGTCCTCATGCACCAACAACTGATGACATTGCTCGACCAGCTGTGCAACCCATTCTTCTCGTTGCAAAGTCCACTCTTCTCCCGTGTCTTCAGGTTGTTTCATTGCAGCAATCAGTACTGAGATGTCTTCGGTAGGAGGAATTCCAAGCATAATGTCTACAAGTAGACATACCATGACGACCCGCACGTTTTGAAAAACAGCGGGATCTGCAAACTGAGTTTGCAACTTCAGGAAGCGAGCAACGCTAATCGCATTATTAATTACCGCTATAAGATGTCATCAATCCAGGTTCAGTTGCTTAGACGCAGTGTGAAACCAAGCAAGTAATAAGTTAATTTTCTGTTATGCATTAAAATAAAAGTGTACAAATATGTCACAATGCTGACTGTTGACAAGTCACCTAGGGCCAGGCTATACTATATAGCGCACAATGTGTAATAAGGCTGCGTATAATATGTAATAATATTAAGACTTGTGTGTTGTAAAACAAAACGTTCTTGGTATCTTAGAGAATAGCACGATAATTCCATGTCAAGACCGCGGAACATATTTGCCGTTTTAGATCTTGGCAGTATAAAAGTCCGGCTTCAAAGGCGTAAGTTTTCTATGGCTAAATAACTGAAAGAAACTGACTTATAAAGTTATATAATTATACCGCCTTTCCCTATAGGCCCTAGTGCGCACATGAATCTGGTACAAACGTTTTCACCAACGTATATATCAAATGTATATATTATTCCAAAAACAATAGCTGCATTGACACCATTGTCTTATAGCTAATCTACGGAATCTACGCCCGCGCCTGCGTTGTGAGGCAAAGAATAATATAAGACTCCTTTTAAGCTTCCACTGGTTAAGAAAAGATGGGACATCTTCATAACCTATCAGCAAAAGATGGGACATCTTTCTGACACAAGAGTTTCCACTAAAAGTATTCTAGATATTATTCCAAAACCTAGCGCTATCGCTGCATGCATCCATGCACCGTTTTACTCTAACTTAGCGTGATGTAAAGAATAATATAAGACTCCTTTTAAGCTTCCACTGGTTAAGAAAAGATGGGACATCTTCATAACCTGTCAGCAAAAGATGGGACATCTTTCTGACACAAGAGGTTTCACTAAAAGTATTCTAGATATTATTCCAAAACCTATAGCGCAAGCTGCATCGCCTTACTCTAACTTAGCCTGATGTAAAGAATAATATAAGACTCCTTTTAAACTTCCACTGGTTAAGAAAAGATGGGACATCTTCATAACCTGTCAGCAAAAGATGGGACATCTTTCTGACACGTACAAGAGTTTTCACTAAAAGTATTCTAGATATTATTCCAAGACATATAGCGCAAGCATGCGCCGCTTTACTCTAACTTAGCGTGGTGTAAAGAATAATATTATAGACTCCTTTTAAGCTTCCGCTGGTTAAGAAAAGATGGGACATCTTCATAACCTGTCAGCAAAAGATGGGACATCTTTCTGACACAAGAGTTTTCACTAAAAGTATTCTAGATATTATTCCAAAACCTAGCGCTGTCGATGTGGCATACTCCCAATTTGATATTTCAACTATACTCTATAGGTATAGCCACAAAAATATTGGATATTGTCAAATCTGAAAGCCAGGGGTACGGCTCATCTCCGCGTTTACTCATCATTAGCTCGCCCGGGAAATAATCTGGCGATGCCCAGCGTAATGTCTAATGAGAATGATATCAAATTTAGTTCAATGGGCCATTTTAGACTAATTTTCGATTCTTTTGAAAATGCTTACGCAAGTTTAATTTGAACGCTGATATCTCAGTCAATATTTCGTGATATCTCATGTATAACCTATCAAAATTTAAGTTAGCCTTTTATGAATACAGCTACATTTATTTGAGCGATGTATAGGTCTTATAGTTTTTTTGCTATGGTAGATCAAACGCCTGAACTTTTTTTGCGCCACCCGGTATATATATGTAAATAAATATT